TCCAGATGAAATAAAATCCAGACAAGGTGAGTAGGGCAAGGGTGGTATGCACTGCCCACTCTCTTCTAGCTTCCAGCTTCCAGCATGGCATATCCCTCAGCGTGTCCAGTCTCAATCTTGCCAGTACTTTTCCTTCCCTCTCTCTCCTCAGCTGTTCTTATTACTATCCTACTACAGCATGTATCTCACCAGGCCACCTATCCCACATTGTCCCAGCATTTTCCTTCCCTCTCCTACCTCCATGCATATATATTTGGCTTTTACCCACTGTCACTCCCCTGCCAAAAAAACCCTGCATTTCATTCTATGCACAGAACTAGGGGATACCATTTCATTATGTGCACAGACCAAAATATCCAAAACATTTATGTTTCAGTTCAGGCACCAGAAACCACCTATTACTTGCAAAGAAATGTTTTGTGCATGGAATACTTTACACATCTCTACAAACAACATGACTGGTTATTACTGATAGGATACAATATTCAGAATGGATGTATGAACTACTATGTTTGTCTTTCCCCTTCATTCTGTGCTATGCCATTTTAGACTGTAAGCCTGAGAGCAAGCACTACTTTTTATTACGATGATTCCTATTTTGAGGCTGAATGGAGGAATACAAATATTGAAAGAATGAATGAGAGAAAAAAAAGATATTTATACATGATAACATGAGAGTCACAAAGTTCAGAGCTCCATTTCTCAGAAAGAGAAATTCTGAAAGGTAGAGTTTTCTGCAGCTCTTTGATGCTTGAGAATTATTTAATTTACAAAACTATTCCTTGTGAAATTGATAAATATTCTAGTTCTCCCTGATGTTCTTATGTGGTTGTAGTACTGGCCACCCACACAAAAATAACTTAAATTAGTACAAGGCCCATGAGGCCCATATCTATTTCATTCTCTACCACAGTTGTTTTAATGAGCCTCCAGAAGACATAAAAGCTTTATACACATGTAGTGTTCTTGATCCAACCCCCCCTTCCTATGTTTTGTTGGAATAACAATGAGCAAGAAGCTTGAATATTCATTTCTTTCATCTTCTTAAACCAGTTTCCCATAATATCTACATAAGCAATATCTAGTTTAGGCAGCTCTTGCAAACCAAGGTTACTTTGATTCTGATTTGTAGGGCATACTTAAATTGTATTTTCCTTGTTCAGACATTATAGGAAAGTAGTTTAACAAAGAAGGTAATGTCTGCTAGTCCTTATCTGGACTCTTACCAGTCAGTACCAAAACAGCATTGGTTGCATTTATGGATGACTTCTGGAGGGCAGTACATCCATCCTGGCGCTCTCAGCAGCTGTTAATATCATCAATCATTGCATCCTTCTAGATCAGCTTAGAGGGTTGGGAGGCACAGTTTTGCAGAGCTTCTCCTTCCTCCAAGGACCGTTCTAATTGGTGTTGTGGCAGGGAGAGGATAACCCTAGACCCCAACTGTGAGGGATGCCTCAGAGCTCAACTTTTTCTCCACTGCTATTAACATCTACATGAAACAACCAGGTGAGATCTTCTGTTGGCATGGGGTGAGGTATCCTCAGCATACTATGTTACACATCTCTGCCCTAGGCTGTACAAATGTTGCTGTAGTTGCTTACCCAGTGCATAGAGGCGGGGAGAATCTGTATAGAGGTGTACAGGTTGTGACTGTCAGCCTTGTGAGATAGTCCAGACAAGAAACACACCCAGATGAACTAATCCTATTTTATTGTAAGGTTACATGAACAGAATCTTGCAAGACTGAAAGTATTTCTCCCCTCCTCTCTTTTTAGTCTCCGGAACACTAGGGAGGGTCCCTTCTAAAATGCTTCTCATGCTTTCCCCCCACCTGCAGACTGAGCTGACTCTTATCAGAGCATTGCCTAGGCTACAGGTCTTCATCCTATCTCCCAAGGTCACATATCATTACAGTGATTCAACCTAGCAAGATTCAGTGTGTCTGGGTTCTTGGGCCCTCTGGTTCTGGAGTTGTTCTACTGACAACTCTAGATGGAATAGCACTCCCCCAAACAGAGTTGATGTACAGCATGTGAATCCTGGACTCATGACTCCTGCTCAGGGAGTAGGTGGAAGCCATGGCTAGGAATGCTGCTGCACAAATCCATCTTGTACACCAACTGTGCAGCTCCTGGATTGGGAGGCTCTGCTCAAGGTCACTTGTGCCTTAGACACTTACTGTCATTAATTACTGCAATGTATTGTCCTTAATCCTGCCCTTGAGAAAACATTCAAAAGCTTCAACTGCTTCAGAATGCAGTTACCCACGCAGAATTGGTGTGCCTGTGTTCACCAATATAACACCTATGCTGCATAAGCTACATTGGCTCCCAGTAAACTTCTGGTGCAATTCAAGATGCTGATTATCACCTCTAAAGCCCTGAACCATGGCACAGGGCCAGGTTACTTGCAGGACCACCTGTCTCCAGACATTTCTGCCTGTCCCACCAGATCCAACAGGGTGGGCATGCTCCAAGTCCTCTCAGTGAAAAGATGCTACCCTGTGGGACCCAGGAGAGATACCTTCTCTGTTATGGTGCATTCTGTGTAAAACAGCCTCCTCCCAAGATCCAGATGGCCCTAAACCTGTTGGCCTTCTGGAAGGCCATAAAAACTTGGCTTTTCCCCCAGGTGTTAGGACCACATTGTTAGCAGAACCTGATATATATGATAGGTACTGAGATGCCTTAGCTTTTGTATTTATTGTTTGCTTTTATTTTTGGTTGTTTTATATTAGTTTTATATTGTCAACCAGACAGTTATTTGCATAAGATGGGCAACTTCATAAATGTTCTAAATAAATAAATAAATAAATCACATCATGTAAGAGATAGGGAGAACTTAGATATAGTAGTGTGATGGAATGGAATTATGAAGGCCAGGCTCAGGGAGATAAGCATTTTCTTAGCCCGCCGCAGGAGCATGGGAACTACAAGAGGATGAGACTGGCACCTCCCTGAGGAATTCACACTGTTGTGGCTGGCTGACTTGGGAACTGGGGTTAGAGTCTGGGAAGATTGATGTCAGGCGTAGCCCAAGGAACTCCAAGAGACAATGCAAAATCAGTTCAGC